GAAGAGAAAAGACAGTAGCTGGGATTGAGGGATTTTTGGTACTCTATGGATATGAAACTATTGAGAAACACTTGGGGTTTATTATGGGTCTTACAACCCTTTGTAGCTCAGATTTACTCAGAATAAATCTCATTTTTGGTCAATGGACATACCTCCGAAATCCTACCCACTTTCTGAGAAAAAAATTCGAGGGGTGAAATTTTTCGACAAAATTAACAAATTTCAAATCGTTCTAAAAAAATTAATTGAAGTTGCAGGGGTTAATTACAATCATTTTTGGTGAATAAACATACCCCTGAATTCCTGCGCAGTTTCGAGAAAAAAATTCAGTACGGGCGGAACTTTAAACGTTAATAACTTTTTAACGAAACCTCCATCAACAAATTGGTATTCTTGATTTTCGTCCAATTTTGGCCCCTAGAATCTCCCATTACAATTTTCTCCAGGGATGGCCGAACACCCTGTATACTCTTACAAACGTAACATAAATTACCAACATATCGATACCTAATTCAGGACACTTTTCACGATTAATTTTAAATTAGATTGCTACGTCAGGTACGCTACGCTGGTCAGCAACGTATCTCAACTCAATAGATGATTTTGCGCAAAGATGCGTGTAAAAACGTGTACAGGGCAATATTGACGAAAGAGAAGGGGGGAGGGAGGGGCCGATAAAAGCGGGGAAGCTTCGTTCTTGAAGGGTTTAAACGCGGCACGATGGAAATCCATTCTACGCTGGGTACGGGCTTTCAGCAAAGAAAATATTGTCCGCGATGCGAGCGATAGCGAGGCGGAACTTTTCACCTTGGTTCGGTCCCTCTTTTAATTCCGTACGTGGCTGAGCGCGAGCGGCTTTGTAACGGAATGTACATTTCTCTCGCTGAACAACCTCATTTGTGTAATCCCCGAAGCTTCGACAACAAACTGTCTGCGGGCATCGAAACGACGCTGAGGGCGCGTTGGAGGGGTACGAGCATGACATTAACGTACTTTGTAGTTGAACTCTGTGTGGCAGTTACCGCTACATCGTGCTCGTTCCCTCCTTCCTCTCATCTTCTGACCTGTCCCCCTCTCTCCCTCCCGCGAACCTCGTTCATTTTTCTCTCGCAGCCCCGTCGTGTCCTGGATGAAATTGCGATTGTAATAGCAATTATCTTATTTCTACTATTGCTTCTTTGTACTTCGATTTGCGACATACGGAGTTGGCGGTGATGCGAATCAGAGAGGAACAACGTCGGGGAGGAGGCGCGGCGGCTGCGAGGTAGGAGGGAACAACCGGTGGAAGGATCGCGAATGGAATTAAACGTTGGCGGGACGGTCGGAAAGCCGCGACGCAATTTAAGTCGCGCGGCGGTTTACTGGAGCGGAATGACGAGTCTTTTAGCTGGATATTGCCAGCGTGAGTTACAACGGTCCTCGGTATTGTTGCATTTTTCATTCGCCAATTATTAGCCGGGGCTGCGCGACGTTCAGCAAAGGGCCCGCAAATTGACTGCGCGGCGAAACCTGCCCCGCCACGGGTTTGCACGGAAACAATAAACTTCATTTCAATTTTCGTGCAAAATTGAAGCGAAACGTACTTCTAACGCGACTGAACGTTACGCGGCAAGTACGACTGCGGGGAAACGATGTTCTTCGACCCCTCGAATGCCGTATGGTTACGGATTGTCGCGACAGAAACGGCCATTTTGACCCTTAATAGAATTTACATTTTAGGATAGTTTTCGAGAATCCATCAAAATTCGAGTATGGGAGTGAATTCAATAAAAATAGAAACAGTCACTGAGTCTTTAGATTTACGTTAGTGTTTTCGTTAAGTTTGCCCTGACTACCCTCGACGCCTTATTGAATCGTATCTCAATGAAAAGAATAACTAACCCAGACCTAACCTAACCTTCGACGCCTTATTATTACATTTACGCGTAACAATATCTATACAAAGGCTGTTGCTTTCTTTATTGAATCGTATTCCAAGAAAAACAATTATTTCCCAGCCCTCGAACAGTCGGACTAAAGTGGTGTCTGTCCAGGTTGTAAATTTTTTACGGCGGTCAAGGGGTTGGAAACGAGATATTTCCGTATCTTCCGTCGAAAACGTAAACGACGAGACCGTGAAATTGCGGAAAAGATTGCGATAGGTCCGATCCGAAAAGTTTCGAAGCCTGCATTGCGACGTGGGACGGAAGGGTGGAGGGGTGGTTTACGGAACGCGAAGCAGGAAGGAGCGAGGGTTTCGCGGAGGAACGAAATACCAACGAGAGCCGCGGTGGTGGGTGGGAAAGAGTGTCGGGAGAATACGATGGTCTCAGCTCGCATTGCAGCTTGAAATTCGTCCGAAGTAATCAATATTATAGCTCGCGAAGATATATGCGGGAGGATGTGAGCAAACATTGTACACACGTGCATTGTTGCGCGGGAATAGGTGGAAGGAGATCGAGGGTGTAAGAACGGTGTAACGGGAGGGGCGGGAGAGAGAGGAACGGATAGTAGAAGAGCGGAGGACCAGAGGAAGGGGTGCCAGAGGATGGAGTTAGAGGTGGAACGGAAGGGGTTGAAGGGGGCCGCCAGGTTCATACAGCGAGGGCTCCCAGCCCGCGGGGGTGAAATGGGGGAAGGAAAGGGGTGGACAGCCGGACAAACAAAACCCTTGCTGCTTCATTTCTGCCCGTCTGGCCAGACACCGACCCTTTATACGCGCGCGCTTCCGTCCTACGCCCGGCTCGTTCATTCCCTTCCTTCTCGACCAGTCCCCGGAACCCCTCAATGCTTCGTCGAGTTGTACTTTCAGTACGTTACTTTTCGAGTTCGTTAATTAACGGCACCGTGGCCTCATTGGACGGGCTCGCGTCCAGTCGAAGGCATACGTCGAGATGGCTTTCGGTGTAACGGTCACCCTAAATCGCGGCCACATTGTCTTCTTCGCCCGGCTGGATTCCAGTTCAGACGTTCGCCAAGCTCGATCGGGGAAAAATTGATCGCTTTCGATCGATCGTTCTTTCTGCTCGAAGTAAAAGTTTCGTACGCGTTGCTTCTAGTCGAACAAAACGAAGTGGACGTATTGTTTTTAATTGACTGAATACAAGACGAAGACTTGGTAGTCTGAAGTTGGGAAACGTAATTACCTGTAATCGACATTAATGGTCTTACAGTTTACTTCCAGTCAGATACATCGATAAATATTGCAGTCACTTTTTTCCTTACCTGACTGGATTCAAAATTAAATTTTACAGACTTAAATAACTGAACTGTTTACTAAATTCTTCCCAGTGGATGTCGATGACCCTTCCCCATACATTGTTTCCAGTCGAATTTTTTAATGTGTTAATCTTACTGTTCTAAACATAAAATTGGGAGAAACTTAAGCAGGGAAACATGATTGTTTATAATCGATTTTAATGGTTCTTTACCGTATTATTATCCGTTAAATTATACGTTCACTGTGTCTTGCTTCTAGTCACATACAGGGGAACATCGACGAACTGGGTACAGTAAGTCGCGGTCATATTGTCTTTAATTGACTGAATACAAGATGAAGACTTACCAGTCTGAAATGGGGAAACATGATTGTTTATAATCGATTTTAATGATGCTATACCGTATTATTTTCCGTTAAATTGCACGGTCGACATGGTTTACTTCTAGTCAGATGCATCGAAATAGGTATCGATGTATCGAGAATTAAATACACATTGCAGAAACTTTTTTTTCAGTTACGTAAATTCAAGATTGAGAGCTGGAGAACTTGAATAAGGAAAAGTTGATTCTTTCTCCTAATATTTTTAATTGAATTTTATGTTCGATATGTCTTGCATATAATCATCGACACCGAGATGAAAAGTAGCAAACTAAACAAAATTATATCTCCCATTATTTTTCCTTGAATTGAAGTTTCAGTCAATAAACGGGGGTCGTTGAATCATCGATCGGATTCAGATTTATGAGGGTTGATTTAATTTCGAAAAATTGATCGTTTTCAATCGATTTAGATTACGGTCTCTCGTGTTATTCTCCGTCGAATTATGCGTTCACTATATCTTACTTATAGTCACAATACACTAAAGTGGGTATTGACGAACTGGGCACCCTACATCGTGGACACATTGTCTTCAATTGACTGAATTGAAGATGAAGAGCTGGCAGACTTAAATGGGAAAAACTGATTGTTTGTAATCTGTTTCAATGGTCTTTTCCGCATTATTCTCCGTTGAATTATACGTTTTACTTCTATCTAGGTGCAATCTCTAACTAACCGAGTCCCTGATTACAAATCTGTCGACTTGAATAAGAAACACCGATTATTTTTAATCGATTTCATCGGACCTTGTTCGTATTATTTTTCATCTAATTGTATGTTTTACTTATAGTCGGTTATACTGGAACAAATGTAGAAAAACTGTGCTCCCTAGCATATATTGTCTTTAACTGTACTCGTTACGATAGACAGACTTGGATAAGAAAAACTGATTCCCTCGAATCAATATTTCATTACATTATACCCAGTCATCTTAAATTTTTAAATACTATCGCTAACTGGTTTCAAGCTTAACAATTTTTAATCAGTTTCCCTTCTCATACTTCTAGTTTAACTATTTGGAAAATTTCTTTCAGGTCAGTCACGTGGGAATAATTAATGAACCGATTAAATTATTTATTGGATTCAGGTTTCAGAGATGGAATATTTAAGAAAACGTGGATATATAAAAATAACAATTGTCGAAGTAGGTATCTTCTATTCGTGTCTGAGTTCAAGATTAGTAATTAGCAAGCTAATCTATTCAAGCATACTGTACAAGGATATTACACGCATATACGGTTTCAAGTATTGGAACTGTCATTAGTCGATTGGATTCGATCGTAGGTTGCGTCGAGGGACTTGACTGCTATTATAGATTACTTTCAAGCTGCAACAAAAATGTTATGATAATTCCATGTTTCCGAACTTTTAAGCATAAGTTACTCTAGTTTGCGCTAACCTGTATCGTTTCTTGTTGTTTCAGGTCAGTGGTGTATACTTCCCAGGCTTCTGAGACAGGGTGGCATGGCTCGTTAATGTGAGTTGAACGATATTTTCGTACGCGACGTGCGACACTTTCTTTATTATGCCGCGAGACGCGTCGGTTTCCGCGTATTTTTAGCGACGTCTTGGACGTATAGGGCTTAATCCGCGCGATATTATTTTTGGACAGGATCCAAATCAAAGCATGCAAAGCATGCCCGTTAGAAACGAAGCAGAGAGAGATAGGGTTGTGCGAGCGCGCGGGGGGCTTCGGCGGCGCGCTTTACTCCCCGTCGTTTTAGGGGATGAACGATGCGAGACATCGATAATCGCATTTGTTGTACGACCGACGGCACGAAACTTTCGGAATTTCGTCCGGCCAAGAAGCAAGGGAAGTTTACGACTTAGGAAGTATTATACAATATTATTCGAATGCTCGTACAGTCGCCTCTATTCCGATCCGCGACCCCTCTTTCCTAATGCCTAAGTCCTCGGATTCGTAACGAAATCTCATCCATTCCGATGCCTCCAGTCTCGTATCAACCCTTAACTGCTCGTGATTCTGGCTACGTAAACACGGAGAATTATTTCGAATTTTGGGGAAAATTTTCACATCGTTGCCTGTAATTACATACAAAGCGTTTAGAATGATTTCAATTATTATTTATTTCTTATACGGTCCTCTTGGAATGCAACAAAATTTGAGGTTATACTGGTTAGTTGTTTTTGATAACTTTGTGTTATACATACGTGATAGCATTTGGAAAGCTTAGTATGTAGAAGCTGAGAGTATTTCTTTTTTGATTTGGAATTTTTTCATCCCCCTTTAATCTTGTATCATTCGATGTATCGTACTATTTTCTTATCAAAATTACAGGGTGATAAACAGCTAGAATTCAATGAACGTTTCAAAACTTCAAACATTTTAAAAATTATAAAGCTTGACACTAGAACTACCGAAGTGGCCAAAATAACCCATTCGCAATTTCTAATAAAAATTATAACAACTTTACTCGATTTTTGAAAATTTGTCGCAATTTTTTCTAACGAGAACGGATAAATATTTATATCCATTGCATTATACATATCTTCAAGTTTCTATAATTTTAATTTCTGTGGTACAGTGTCAATAAAAGCTGAAAATAATTCTTTTTAACCGAGAATGTTTCCATCCCTTTTAATCTTGTATCACTCAATATTCGATACTATTTTCTTATAAAAACCACCGATGATAATCATCTAGTACGTATGACCCACACTTAGTGGTAAATTTCGTTCTAAAAGCAGCGGTCCCCTCGCCGCCCCCTGTCGCGAGCGTAATAATCCCGAGAAATCTGTACTTTTCGCACATTCCGCGGCACGCGCGTTAATTGCGAGAAACAAGAGGCGAGAGGCTAGAAAACAGAAAGCGTAACGGCGTGGTTTATTTCCAACCCCTTCCCGTTGCTTTTTCTCTGTGAAGAACACTCGGCACCAGAGTGGTAGCTAATAACATAAATGAGGAACACAGCGAGCCGGTGCTTTCTTTTTGCCTCTATTTTTTTTTTTTTCTACCCCACCCTTGTGCCAGGCCAGCCGCTACGACTAAAGTGGCGAATATGGGGTGTGAAATGCATGTCGGTTTCACGGGGTTGCCCGAGCGTAATAGCGGGGACAGAGGCGAGAGCGCGCGGAGTCGTAGCCGGGCCACGGGTAACGGGGCTCGAGTTGCAGGAGTCAACTTGGCGCTCATTGGCTACTTGCCGGCGACCGCCACTCGCGAAACATTAGTATTCTCTGCTAATTAAAATGTAACTGAAATTGTAATGGTCTGCGTGTGCCGACGATACGACGGGAATAGGGGATGAGAGAGCGCCGCCGGTGGTGGAGCGTTACAACGCGCACACCGTAACGGACGATGTGTGCTTTTTCATGCTCGGCTTGTGGACTGAATAGAGGAAAACGTCCGACCGTTCTGTAAAAAAGACTGCGTCGCTCCGCGATTGTTCCTATTACTTTTACTCCCAACCACCCATCCCACCTCCCCCCTTCATCCTCGTCGTATTATGAATTTTGTTACGATAGTCACTGGCAAGGGAACGGAGACGGGAATTACACGCGAACGTAGAGTATTCAACGAAACGCGCACGGATCGTTTAATTTCACAACAGTTCGTTTTTTAACCGAACACACACCGTATTTCTGAAGCTTCTTGTTCGGTTTTGGAAAAACACAGACTGCCCTAAATATCGCCTCCCCCCCTATTTCCGACAATATTTTATCGGAAGACCAACAAGCTTAGAAAATAATTTTTATCGCGTGGAACGTCGTATAAGCTTTCGCGACCGTGTTACAGCCTTTCGCGGTTTATTATCGGAGGACATGTTCGAATGGAATCTCAAGCACGTCGACACGATACTAATCCGCTCTAACAGGATAGCACAACGTAAACAGTCGTAGGTGGGTGTCGGATAACAATAACAATAACGATAACAATCCGCGAGACGACGCTGTAAAGTTTATATCCTTGCCAATGGAGGCCGCGTCGAATATTTTATTCGATGTTCGAGAGGCTGTAAATTGACCTGTTTCGTCCTTAAAATGAACGAAACAGGTCGCTTTTTATTTTTGTTCGACACGGTTTGAAAGAAGTTTTGCGAGTTTTCCTTCGATTCGTGGCACGATTTCGCCAAAGAAAACGTCTGCTAGAATAATTATAGAGGTTGTGAAAAATGTATAACATAAATGTTCACTCGATTTATAATAAAATATCGGTTAGAGTTTAACGTGAAAACTCTGCATGTATTTACGAAAATAATATTAGGATCCGTGTAACAGGGTAAGAAATAATTCAAAAACTAGAAAGTCATATTGTCAAGATTATATGGTATCTAAATAAGGCTATAAAGTCACGAATTGTATGCGTTATTCAAAGTAGAATTTTATTCAGAGTCTCCCCCTTTTCTCACATCTAAAAATTTTTGCATGTACTACTACTTATCGCTAGAATATTCACAGCAATATTCTTAGAATGAGAAGGTACACTTTTTTATTTAGTTAAGCATCGAAGATGACTAAGAGTCGAAACGATTTATATTGAATTTAATATAAAATTTTTAATGGAATTTCTATTTTTGTTGTTTCATCTGATCTAGAACTATCAATGTGAGATAGAAAATCTATTAATATTGACAGTGTGTCAGGCATATTTTCTAGGTCGTAAACATTAAATAAAATTTTTCTGGGACGAACTGAATTCCCGTGGAACTCGAATTAATTGAAATACCTATTATCGAACCTCTGGTGTACTAAGATATTATGCGTCGATGGTCAGCAACAGGGCGGATTCTCTCCCTTACGTGATCGAGTACAACCTAGCCCCGTGCAAACCGCACAGAGGGTGGTTTCGGGCGAACGTTCGGGATATTGCTCGCGTTATTGTTCGTATTAATTGATTTTTTCTTCGCCCGCGTTTCATTCTGAAAATTACTACAAGTTTTCCACCCCTCGGAAAGACAAGCTCGAATCGTTTCTACCCTTTAGCCAGAGGCTTCGCGTTTTTATAATACGTATTTTATTTTCATCGAGTCTAAGATATACAAAAAGTATTATATTTTAACAATTTAGCGATTTATTGTCAGTTAGAAAATACAAAAAAAGAACACACTTGTGTCTTCGAAATTTGAAAATATTTTTTGTGGGAAAACTAATTATTTGTCTTTCAATAATCTTTCTTTTCTGAAAAGTCTTTTCTTGCACTATCATTTATCATTAGTAGACAAATTCATGCAAGTTAGAGGGCTGAATATAATAATTCGAATCATGCTTTAAGTTGTGGCGGCCAAGGCACCACATACGCCTTAGCCGTTCGAAGCCGCTACAATGTATGGTTGCACACGAGACGATGGTTGCACACGAGACGATGGTTGCACACGAGACGACCAGAGCCGCGTGAGCCGAAAAGCCGTTGTCGTCGTCTCTGACCGTCTTTTGTTTTTGAAGGCCTCTTGGTACGGTGGCGATGATCGTACCAGAGAGTCGAGCGTAACCCGCACCACGAGTCACGTCGTTGTACGACAGCAACAATAAAATTGTGCGGAACGGAACAGAGCGGAGTCATTATCTTCCCGATCCCACATTGGTGACCCCGACGTGATCTCGCCGCGCAAGTAAAGTTTTTTTTAAGAAAATTTGGACATTTTTTGTATACGGACAATATTAGTTAGTGTAGAGAAATAAGTGTATAGTGTTAAGAACATAAGGAAAGGACACGGTCTGACAAATAGTAGGCGCGGTGTGTGTGTGCGGTGAAATTAATCTTTTGTGACCAAGACTGGTAAAATGACTGACCCTAACGTTAACGCAGGGACATCCGCGGGAGTGCCGTTGGCAGTTGATCGCGTCGCTGTACGGATACCCGAGTTTTGTCCGGGAGACCCGGAGATGTGGTTTTCGATGGTAGAGAGAAGTTTTGAGGTATCCAATGTAACGTCGGAGACCACGAAATTCGGGTACATTCTCGGCGCGTTAAGTGCGCGACACGCCGCGGAAGTAAGAGACATTATCATGAATCCCCCGGCCACGGATCCGTACACGACGCTCAAAAATGAGTTTATTCGCCGGCTTAGTGCGTCGCAGGAACAGAAAACGCGGCGGTTATTGGAACACGAGGAAATCGGGGACAGAAAACCGTCCCAATTTCTTCGTCACCTGCGCGGATTGGCCGGTACGGCTTTTTCGGACGGTGTATTGCGGACGCTTTGGATGGGCCGACTACCTGCTAATATGCAGGTGATTTTAGCCACGCAGCGGGACACCCCGCTGGATAAGGTGGCAGAGTTGGCAGACGCTGTTGCGGATACGATGACACCGCGGGTACACGTCACGGAGGCCGCGATTACGAGCGTATCTACATCCTGCCAAATACCCCCGCCGGGCCCGAGCATCGAGGCCATGTTAAACATTAAGATGTCACAATTGGCTCTTTCCTTGAGGCAGGAAATTTCTGCCATCCGTGAATCCTTGGTGGACCAGGGGCAATCTTCCCGTCGCAGGTGGACCCACCGAAATCATCCA